AAAATGTAAGCTGTACGTTATAGCACAGATAAGACTATTATCTTGAAGGAGGATTCCCTGATTTTTCCCAATACAATTAATGCGTCAGAATCTGCTTGTGGAGAGCAGCACTTCCCACCTCCCTTCTTGACTGCCACCTCCACCTTCTGTCTCCCCTCAGCTGGAATGTGTTCCCTCTCCACCAGATATTTAGTGGTGGCTTTGCCGGAAACCTAGAATAGGCAAGCTTTGCTGAGCAGCCTACACAGGAATAGTCACCGGAGCTTAAATTTACTTGTGGTGAAGTCTTTTTCATGTCTGTGCCGAAATGAAACCAAGGCATTTTAACAACAGGTTATCAGTTCAGTTCTTGGGAATTTGCCTTTGTTTTTCACACACACATATGAATACGGCTGAAGCACTTTAGTTTTGTCTTAGGATTTCTACTCATCAGTGTTATGAGCTGCTTTACATCCCCAACTGACGCCAGGCAGTAGGAAAGCAGCAAGAAATTTCAAAGGTAAAACAACAAACCTAGCAAAGACCATATGCAAATAATTTGATTCAATACAAAGAGAAGGCACAGTCAGTCACCTTCTTTTGAAGAAGACGATGGGTAAGAACCTGTTTGAGAAGGGTTTGGGTTCCTGAAACTTTTTATGCTTTTCATCACTTTTGGGTTGCATCACAGACGTCTCAATGGTTCACAATCAAAAGTGTCAAATCGGATTGGGGTGCAATGACCAAGACAGAACTGCTGCACGTTCCAGGATCTTTGGTCTCCACAGGAAGACAATGGCTCACGTAAAGCAATTTAGCTGCTGCTCATACAGATCCTTAGTCTTAAGAAGATTGTTTTGGACAACTTTAAATCTTAAGTCTTTAAGTCAATTTTAATATTGGTCCACTGTTGGATATTACTTATTTTTTCTTGTGTACCCTAGTATTCATCTCTTAGAATTACACATCTATGCTTTGATCAATCAGTTGGATGTTGAGGGGATTGGTTGTGTTCCTGAAAATATGTTGGGCTCTTTGTTCATAGTAATCAATTTAACACTTACATTGACATTCTCTTGTTTTGCCCTGATTTAGACTTAAATTTGACAGGGCCTAACCTTGGAATGGACTTGGACTCAAACGAGGTGGTCTTGACTGCAGCTCTTCCGATTGCTTTGCAGTCTGGTTGCCACATATTTTGAATATTAATCAAAGATGATAACAAAAGTTGAACAATTCAGCATACAGAATGAGCATGACATCTCCTTTAGTCAACATCTTCCTCCCACTGATGTCCATTCCATTCTTCACCTCGCCCTGTACTCTTCACATTTTAAGCATGACACAGTTGACTGCTACACTATTTTTAGAGAAGCGGTTAGCCCTGGTAGCCAAACATAAGGGTGCTGACCTGACCAACTTGATTTGTGCGGATGAAAGTGAACCTGAGAGCCGTTTTGCCGATGTTGATTTTGGAGCGTTTCACTGTTGTTAAACTAAGAACACTCAGTGCTGTATTACAGCGGTGGGCTTTTTACCTGCACACTTATTTTGCAGCGTAAGGTGATTATCTCCAGAAACCGCCAGAAACAAGGGGGGAAGTCAGAGGTTTTCTTATGATTTCTCTGAGGTTTGGTGTAAGCTTTGACTCAGCACCCCCGGGATAGGAACTCGTCAGAGACAGTTTCCTGACAGTTCCAGACGGTCCTGGGAAGTTGGCTGTCGGCCAGATATGCTCCAATTCGTGCAGCTCATCAGGCAGCAGCAGTCAAAGTTGGACTTGCGCCATTCATTCACGTGGTATCCTGTTGTTTTAGGCTTGTCATGATAGCCCCTGGTGCATGATTGAAAACATTTTGGAGTAGCTGGTGCTATTCTAGGCTGGGGGAATCAACGTCCCTATTAAGGCAATTTACTGTCAAAGCCATTGAGGCGGTGTGAAAGTGAGTAGAAGAGGAAGCAACGTTGTGTAAAATAATCATGGGTTGCTTAACTGATTTCTACAGTCCCTTGACATTTGATCTTCTTTTATAAGTCAGTATGAGTTCAGGCTCAGCTACAAACCAAAAAGGGGTACATGTAGACTCTAGGCCTGATAGAAGAAGATACATTTTAGTTGTTGTGATGTTTGTGTCTGGTTGTCCTCCCTTCCCCTGCTTTTTTATTGGACAATGGCATGTTAAATAGTTCCGGTTTGCTGTGACACTGCAATGTGCCCCTCTGATTCCAGCACATCTCCTCGCCTCTCTAAACTGAACCAGATGGAGCCTTTCCATATAAAACTTTCACCCCCCTTAGAATATGGGGGGAAAGTAGCTACATGTCATATTGTGTCAGTTTAATGCAGCCCCAATGCAGTATGGCTCCTCTGTAACTCACCAACAGTTCCCAATGCTGCATCTTTTATAGCCTTTGAAGAAATTCTCTCTTACAGATTTATTTCTGCCCTGCATTAATTCTGCTGCCCTTTCTGTAATATTTCAATTACAATGAACACACTGTAACACAAAACTCTTGCTGAAACCATCTGTGACCAATGCTTTCAAAACTTTAATCCTTCACTGATCAAAAGAAATGCTTGGAGAGACTTATTCAGGATGCAGAAATGTCATTTGTTTGAAGAAGAACAAGACCTTTTACACACTTTTGCCAGCCATTAATATTAAACCATAATGACAGCATTGGTCAGTTTTGTTTAATTTAGATGAAGATACAACCGTGCATAACAATAAGCATATTCTATGCTACTTTTAATGAATATAGCTAGCTTAATAGCCACTAATCAATAATACTCTAAGTATGAAACGTTACATAAATTATAGCATACACCAATTATATTTATTAAATGCCCGACAAAGGAATAAGCCTTCTTACCGGACAAAAAAATCTAAGACAAAAGTGTTTATGCCTTTTCCAAATGGCCACACTCAAAGGCAGGGTGAAAAGCCAGCCGTCACAGAGAGGGACAAGATGCAATGAATCATATAAGATTATAATGGGATACACAGGAAAGTGGCGCAAATAGCTGAGGAAAGAATGAAAAAGACAGCTTAACAGAGAAGTTCAAACCCTGCACACCTGGACAGCCGCTGTGAAAAGTGGGCGTTATTTTGGGATTGTCCTATTCAGAAAGTTCCAAAAACTGCCAGACGAAGCCGCACCGATTCCAACATTGGAAAGGTACAGAGGCAGACAAGCACTTCTCTTGGTCTGAAGCACACTGAGACCTATACGTTACAGAAAGTTTCCAGGATTCTTTAGTGAACATTGAATCAAGCCTTCTGGTACCTGCTGAGGCAGTAGCATGCATACTGTAATGATTCATTACTAACATTTAATAAAAAAATGCATGATTAAAATTATATTTAAAGTGATTATATATGTTATTTATATATATACACTGCTCAAAAAAATAAAGCGAACACTAAAATATGAGGTGGCGGATGGTCTCCTCCAACTCCTGGACAGTCTGTGGTGCAACGTGGCGTTGGTGGATGGAGCAAGACATGATGTCCCAGATGTGCACAATTGGATTCAGGTCTGGGGAACGGGCGGGCCAGTCCATAGCATCAATGCCTTCCTCTTGCAGGAACTGCTGACACACTCCAGCCACATGAGGTCTAGCATTGTCTTGCATTAGGAGGAACCCAGGGCCAACCGCACCAGCATATGGTCTCACAAGGGGTCTGAGGATCTCATCTCGGTACCTAATGGCAGTCAGGCTACCTCTGGCGAGCACATGGAGGGCTGTGCGGCCCCCCAAAGAAACGCCACCCCACACCATTACTGACCCACTGCCAAACCGGTCATGCTGGAGGATGTTGCAGGCAGCAGAACGTTCTCCACGGCGTCTCCAGACTCTGTCACGTCTGTCACATGTGCTCAGTGTGAACCTGCTTTCATCTGTGAAGAGCACAGGGCGCCAGTGGAGAATTTGCCAATCTTGGTGTTCACTGGCAAATGCCAAACGTCCTGCACTGTGTTGGGCTGTAAGCACAACCCCCACCTGTGGACGTCGGGCCCTCATACCACCCTCATGGAGTCTGTTTCTGACCGTTTGAGCAGACACATGCACATTTGTGGGCTGCTGGAGGTCATTTTGCAGGGCTCTGGCAGTGCTCCTCCAGCTCCTCCTTGCACAAAGGCGGAGGTAGCGGTCCTGCTGCTGGGTTGTTGCCCTCCTACGGCTTCCTCCACATCTCCTGATGTACTGGCCTGTCTCCTGGTAGCGCCTCCATGCTCTGGACACTACGCTGACAGACACAGCAAGTGAACAAAATGCCAAATATATTTCCGCAATAGATTTGCACTGATAAGGCTGTACATGCTTCTTTGTTTCTGTTCAGGTAGAATAAAGACAGAGGGAAAGACAGTACGCGAGACAGAATACACTACAGTCTAAGGCAAAGACTAAGACAAACCACTAGAACATCAAGCTCAGCTGTAGAAACCAGTTGAGCAACAACAAAACTTGCCCTCACCATAAAAACTACATTTAAAAAGTTTCTTACAAAGACAGCTCCATCCACTTCCTGCAGCTCTTCACACCAGAATTCTCCTTTTCTTATTTCAACCCTCAAATAGTCTTTTTTTAATTTCCTTCTTATGTAGAAGAGCTTTTCCCATCTCACAGTTTCACTAATTCTCTCATCAAAGCGAGGGTCAGCTCCAGATGTAGACGGAGGGAGTGAGTCTATTTCTAGTGTTCAGTGTTTGCGTGAGGAGAGAGAGAGAGAGGGACGGAGAAAGAGAGCTGTTGTGACAGTTGTGCTGGGGAGCACTGAACACACACAGGCACATACACACCGAGCCAGGTCTCAGTAATCACGGTTTTGCCGAGTGGTGGTTATACCTTCCAGTGGAGTTCACGCCCTCTTGAACTGTTTTGGCTGACTTTGTGGTACACTTCTAACAGTGAGAGAGAGGGGGGGGGGGAGTGAGGGAAGGGGAGGGAGCAGTGTGCTTGTGGGAGGAGAAGGAGGAGGGAGTGACCGGGAGGAAGGAGAAGCTTTCTCAGTTTCTGTGAGTCCTGCTTGCTGTAGGCTGCAGAATGAACGCAGTTGCTTTCCTCTCGGTCTGAGAGGCAGCTGCTTTTTTTTCTTTTTCTTTAATTTATTTATTTTTTTAGTTTGTTCTTCCTTTCCTGTGCCAGACATCAGTAGGAATCACTGCAGTTTTTTTTTTACCCTTTTACTCACGGTTCTTTTTGGACCTCCCTCCCACTCTTGTGTTATTATTTTTGTGCCTGGAAGTACCATGCCGGTGGTTGGCGTAGCCTCCAAGCTCAGGCAACCCTCCGCGGTGGGCACCAAGCCAGTGCATACTGCTCTCCCCATCCCCAGTGCGGTCAGGGCAGCCACTTCACAGGGCTACATGGCCAGGCAGCAGGAGTTCAGGACAGGTGAGGGCGCCCCGAGGCTCTCCTGCCAGCTGTCAATCAAGTCTGAGTACCAACAGGAGAGTACGGCTGAAGGCAAGTCCAGAGCTGCGACGGAGGAGAGCAAGATCTGCAAGGTTGGTGGAGGTGGACAGACTCCTGCCATGTGTCTGTTTAGTTCATCTGTGTGTGCAGGCAGCATAGTGACACTCCACAGGTGTCAGGGATGAAAGAGCCAACCGCATCAGGCCTGTCAGGCTTGCTCTCTTTTTCAGTGTCTGTCATGCTCTTTCCCCATCTTGGTTTGAGCAGGTGTCTGTCTAGCTCTGAAACAGAGTTCAAGCACACGGCGGTGAGTCATGTGTGCTATGGTGGGATGATGTCGCTGCTTTTGGTCATCAACTAAGAGGGGAAACTAGATGAGTAATACACTGTCAGTGTATTACCTCATCCTGCTGCCCATTCAGTCTGCACATAATTTAGTAATCAGTGTGTGTGTATGTGTGTTACAGGGGGAGAGAGGAGAGTTTAGGGTTTTGATTGTGTGTTTTGAAGTATTAAGATCCCTACCTGGGAAGTGAACCGTGGCGGCTTCTCTATGGAGAGGAAAACTAATACAAGGGTAATAGGTGCTACCTGAGAAGCCCCAAAGATTATGGGAACATGGTCTGAATACACTCTTTTTCCGTGGTTTTCTCCCCATTCTGTCTCCCATGCAGGGTAATATTTCAGATTATCTCAGAAGAGCATATTCTTAATACCCCCAACAGTGTCAAAATGTTGCAGATGGTTTAATGGACGCTCAGAGATCATTGTTAAGTGGTTCACCATACTAAACTCAGGCTGTGCCAAGTTCTTTCCTCTTTGCAGAAATGTTTGGCTCGGTTTCTCAGGCTGCAACAGAGAAGGCGGGGTCGGTCCGTCCTAAGGAGGAAGGAGTTTTCAAAAGTCCCCGCCAAATAGTTTCAGCAGCGCCTCAGCCCGTCCCACATCCAGAACTGTCAGAGCACAACTGAACTTTTCCTGTTTGGCCAGTTGATCCCTCCTTCTCCCCACACTGTCTCTTTCTACTGTTGCAAGGCTTCTTAACAGAGACAAAAAAAAAGTGGAAAGGCTCTGGTTTTCAGACTTTTGAAACTGAACAAAGCTGCAGATTTTCCTCGTGACCTAGAGGAAACGTGGGCAGGAGACATCAAAGCGCAGGTCAGCGTTCCCCTGCTTCTAAATCCGCCCAGTGCGTCCATGAGTCCAGACTACTGCCTGCAGGTTGAATGTGTGTGTGTGTGTGTGTGTGTGGGGGGGGGTCAGTTGTCAGTTGTTAATACAACTGGGTTCCTAAAATCTCCTGCTTGGCCCATTAAAAGTAGCTCTTAGATTCTTTTTGATTTTCCTTTATCTGAGTTTGAAGAAGAGGAAGTTGAAAGCTGATTTGATTTGTGTCAGCATCTATCTCCCATCATATTCACAGGTCCCCCCCCCACACCTTCCTTACTTTATTTATTTAGCATTATCTTCAAGCTCTTTTCGAGCAGAAATGCTGCAAGTGTGCTATGGCTCTGACCCTTGCCTTCCCTTTCGTTGGTGGTTTATAAGATTTGAGCCCTGTTCTAGTGTTCCTATGGATACAGCATCAGTTACTTGAAATGTACAATCAGTGCACCATACTATATTCCCTGTCCTCGGGAAGCTCATAGGCAGGCAGAACTTTCTTGCCTGCCCCAGCCTGTCGGTGTGGGTGAGGAATTGGTGGTATGGAGGGGGTAATTAGTCTGTCTAATTGTGTTGTGTAGTCCCTTGAGAGCTTTACTCTGCAGGCTTTTTCAGAGGAAAAAAGGGAGAGAAGGTGGAGTAAATGCTGTCGTTACTCCTTCATATTAACCAACACTCATTGTTAGGTTTGGAGTCCTATTATCAAGCAGGATCAAGCGTAGGACTGTGTGGATGTGTGCACTGCATGCTTGTTTGCAAACCCCCCCCCCCCCCCCCCCCCCCCCGTATATACAATAGTGGCAGCATGTGTTGGCTTGTTTGCTCGCAGTTAAACATATCCTAACCTGGGTGGTGTTTGCCAAAGTTGGAAAGATTTTTTTAAAGTTTTTATTCATAGGATTTTAATTACTTGGTGGTGGTGAAAAGTTCCACCTGTCTGCTCAAAAAAGAAGTTAATCAAAAGAGTATTCGACCCGTGACGCATTTATTATTACCTCTGTGTTTTTCTGTTGTGGCTGTCGTGCAGAACAACATGCAGTCAGCGTAACTGTGAAATAAGATTGGAACTCCTAGATTACCTACGTTATAAGCATCCAGAGGTGCAAGAGTCAGCATCATGTTACCCTGACAATATTTCTGCTCCTGCAGAATTGAACATGACACATTTGCAAGAAAAAATAAATAAGAGGTTTAAGCGCTGAGCACAGAAGTAGATGGAACGTTTTTCTTTGGTGTTGTGTTTGCAGAAGACAGCAGCTCTGGTGGTGTTTTGAGCAAAGCCAAGGAGGAAGCCCACGTCTTCCATGGTGGAAGATGTGTCACTTCTTATTGTGCTATTGGGGAGTCTAATGGTGTGTAAAGGGCACAGTTAAGCTCCCACTAATCTCATCTGTATGAATACAGTCTGTATGCATTGTGTTATAGATAATCACTCACTCATCTAATACACAATACATTGCACCTAGTTTCATAGGAGTGTCCACACTTTGTGTCTGCATTTGTGTTTATGTCTGTGCACAGACATTTGTTACCTTAAACATTTGTTATGAGAGAAAATACACTGACAGAGAGTAAGAGTAAAGACATGCAGAGCACTGTTGAACATGACGCACAGCTATCAGGTTTTTGAACATTGTGTGATTTGGCCACCAACAGCGAAGAATGATTACCATGACTTTTTACTGCATTTACTTTTTATACTAATTAAATTTGATTCTAGCCACTAGTATGAGGGCGTTAACTTCTTCTTCATTTTCTACATATCTAAAACATATCTATAGTTATAAGTACTGCAAATGGGAACCTTGGTGTTTTTGCCATAAGGACATTTGGTTAACATGAAATCACAAGTACAGCCTATAGATACAGATAGGTAGCTAGCTTACCACAAACTAACATGTACAAGGTGCTTTACTCCATAATGAGGGACACCTCAAACAATTCTTCTACAGTACTGTGTGATAGTAGCTGATAGTAGCTTGAATGTGACGCTAACAAACTTTGCTTTGTTTAAGTTTGGTCTGTGTATTTGCTGCCTGTGTGTCTACAAGTTCCCCGGCTAACGCTAACGTTGCGCAGCTCTCACAAACACTAGCAGGTGGCAGCGTAAGCCTCAAGTTTCCTTTGCGTTGGTGTGCAACACCTGTGCTCTTCCGAGGCCTCCCGTCTTAATCCATCTATAAGATTTTGAGCTGTCAAGGACTCCCGTTTCCCCTCCATGATGGAGACAACAAGGCAAAGCGTTTGCTCTTCCTGTTGTACTCACTGCTGACAGTTCACATCAGTCACTGCCTCTGGCACTGTGGGATGACGAGCTGGAATGAAGAGCTTATCTGAGTCGACTGGGCTTTAATGAAGTGTCAGCGCCACCACCACTGATAGGGAATTATCTTGTGCATCAAGAGTTTTGGCAGCTGTCCAAATCACATTGCTCGGGGACTTATTTAGGGGTAATTTGGAGTTCTTTTTTTAAGGTGGAACTGAAGATTTCACCCCAACTTTTTACTAAATCTGTAGTGTAGAAGAAGAACAGATGATTGGATTCACTGTTATTCATTCTTGAAGAACTGTGTGGGTGTTTATGGGATTTACCTAAAGTTATGTTTGTTCACATTCAAAGTAATGACGTTCCAGCGACAAGCTCAGTTTTTTTCAAACAGAGTTTTTTTACAAATACAATAGCTTTACACCTGTAAAGTACTATAACCAGTACATACAATACAAGTGCCTACTGTAAACCGGTTCTAAAGTTTTCTTTCTCTGCTGTCAGTCTACACTGACATGCCCTCTCTTGTGTCAACAGTAATAGAGCCATACCTTATGTGATGAATGTGTCTTTATCTTAGAAATGCACCTTATTGTATACACACATTGTGAACGTTGCAGGCTGCTGTTTTAGTGGCCTCTGATGTGAGTGAAATGTTATTCCGGAATGTTGCTCCTCGAGAAAATGTACACAAGTGTTTGCCCGGAAGTGTGGATGAGTGCCAGACACACTCAGCCACTTAGAGAACAAAATACATCCTGTTGATTCTCTTTGTGTGTGTGTGTGTGTGTGTGCTTGTGTGTGAGGAGAATAATCAGGGTCTGTTGTTGCATATTTTTCTTGTTCGGTGCATCTCCTGCCCTGACCTGATAATACTCTAGGCAACAACATGGGTGGGTTCAAAGTAGGAAAGTAAGGCGGAATGCCTCAGGGAATAATGTCGGGGTCCGGTGAGTTTGAGTGAGCAAGTAGAATGTAAACAAACCTCTGCTTCCCTCTTTCTCTGGGTGGGCCTGACGCTGTCTGTTTCCCTTGTCCTCTTTCTCTCTCCTTTTAAATTTTTTATCACCTTTTCTTCTCTTTTTCTGCCGGGTTTGCATGCAGGGTTTTCACACTGCCGTGGTTGCATTTGCATGCACGCAATATTTCAATTATTGCTAACACTCCGTTAAGCAATCAAGCCATTTACAGGCTTTTTTGATCAATATCTCCCCATTTTTTCAGGTTATGTTGTATGTATAATTATATACATATATATTAACCATTTATGACACAAATAAACATACATAGACTTGCACGACTTCCACGTAGGCAACCATTAGAGTTGAATGTAGCCTCTATTATTTGTGTGAAAACACATTTTGTACATAACACTAAACATGCTGCTTATATATATTTACATGCATAAAAAAAAGTTGCACATAGTACTACCAACACTGTCACTTATAATCATCAACATTTACATTTATTAGCTCTATGACTGTGACATTTGCATCTGTTATTAACATTTGGAGGGATATAAAGGAAGAGCAAGAACATGAAAAGGAAACTTTTGGAATATTTGATCATTTGTCAGTCATCACAATCTTAGATAACCACAGTTTTATCGGTGATGATGCATTTATGGTTTTGTCCGGCACGTCAGTGGTCAAAGCGTGCTCTGGTTGTCTTCCTGGCTCTCACTCAGCTCTCGCTCGTCCCCCTCGAGTGACTCTGACACTGCTGAAACAACAGAGAGAATAGAGGGAGCGGGAGGGGGCCAGCTTGTTCCAGCAGAGGGAGGGGTTTGGGGGAAGGTTCAATAGGATGGCTTGTGGAGGGTGTCTGAATTTGTCCTAGTCATGGGTGGTCTGGCTCGCCGTGTGCCGGACTCCATATCTGGAAGAGAAGTTGTCGTTGTGAGGGAGGTGTGAATGCTAACGAGCAGAAAAAGCAGTCTACTTTTTTTCCCCAGCCAACAAGGTCAGGCAGTGGTCTTTAAAATACACTGTGATGGTACTAGAGTGGTTGGTAGGCTCTCATTGATTGTAAATTGCATTCTTGGAAAGGGAACCACAACTTCTTCAACTTCAGTATAGAATGACATGAGAATTGACTTAAAAATTGCCTTGGTTGAAACCGCTGACACGCATAACAAAAGGATGCAGGCCAAGTTTGTTGCTGCAGTTTTTGCCATGATCTCCATGTTCTTGCCGCTGCTCTGCAGGAGCTTGTCCTTGCAATTTTATTGGCATTTTCAGTATGAAGGTCAACAGTCTGTGGTCTGTTCAACAAATTAGAAATAATGTGCTAACAGAGGAGTCCAACCCAGCACACTTGGCCTGATCCAAGTTGGAAACATGACAATGACTTTTGGTCCAACACGTGATTTTGAACCATAAGATTATCAAATTAAACCAAGAAATGTATAAAATCAGATTAGGTTAACATGTGTTGCAGCTGAACAACTACCTCTAATGTGATTCACTCACATTTTCTGCAGTTGTCTGTCCACTTCTGCATCATTCCCCAACACTGCGGAGATTCCTTAATGACCCCTGGGTCAAAATTGGGAAAATATTTCAGACATTATTATTCTTTCCAGTGGTCTCTCTACCTCCTTCTCCGTTTGCTTTTTGTCTTGCACACAGTATTGCCTTTCGTGCCGCGGGGAGTCTGCTGTCGGCCGCGGTGTTTAAATCTTGGAGTGAGAACACACAGTGTTCTGGTGTTTACAGTGCAGCCACACCGGTTAAAAATACCCTCCCCTGGAAGTACAGTCACAGTGTTCACTCCAAAACACCAAGAAAAATAAGACGCTGTGCAAAACAAGTACATGTACATGGGTACAGCAGTGAAATTCCATGTTGGCTGAGGCGTGATTCTTGTATGGATTAGTCAATACTGCCACTTTTTTAACAACAGTGAAGATTACCCAGAGTTAGTGCTTTTAGAAATTCACTGCCTTGCTCAAGCACAGTTAGCCAGGATGGACTTTTGCCTTAAAAGTGGCTTGCACCTGGGTCTCCGCACAATCTCTCTGACCACAAGGGTTCCATAATTCAACAAATAACAGAGATTAAAGAGAACAAAGCCTCCCCCTGCCCTGTTATTGTCTCATCATATTTTGAGGTTTTTCTCTGTGATTCTCATAAGTCTGTTTTGTGTGTGAGGCATCGTGAGGCTGACTGGATGCAGGAAAATGTGCGTGTGGAAGAAAGTTACCCTGCTCTCATGCAGAGGCTGGTATTGCACTAGAACATGCATACATACACACACAAACACACACGTGTGCACAGACTTGCTCCAGGCCTTCTGCTAGTTCAAAGGTAGGCTGGCTAAATGATCCAAGAGAGGGATGGTTCACTCGTTTGTTGTTTAATGATGAAAAAGAAGAAACGCACACATGCAGAAGAAGCATGCATTTGAGACGGAAACCTTTTTACGTATTCCCTGTCATCTATCTGATCCTGTTATTTATGTTTACTTTAGCAGGACATGTGACTGTAGATGGAGATTGGTGTTGCAGGATACAAGCCTGCAAAAGCTTTAATCTAGGTTTAGGTCTAGGTTTTGCTGTCCCTTCTTGTTGAAAGTGACAAGAAATGATCGGGCAACTAGGTGGACATAGAGAACAAAAAATCTAATTGTATCACAAACAAGCAAACACACAATTAAGCTAAGGGCAAGTAATATTCCAGAATAGGAGTTCTGGTTTGTTTCAGGGTTCCCTTGGCTGCATTGTGTAGTCTGCCATTTGCACTGTACCTCAATCTGACCATGTTCACATCATTATACTTTGCTTTTTCTCTGTAGAGTTACAGTATGACGTGTCCAGCGGTAAAAGGTCCTAAATTGAAAGTCAGTTCATCAATCATGTTTAATGGCGAGAGTCTTACCTGAAACTATACTCTTTCTGAATTGTCCTCATGCATGACGCTTCACCCACCTAATGCTCATATAAGGTCAGCAGAGAGAGACACTCAAACACACATGGGATGTTTGAGTGTGTAGCGGTGGCAGATCATCTTTTACCTCCACCTCAGATTTCCTCCATTTGTCTCTCTCCAGCTGTCTGTCAGCAGTCTCTCTGTCTGCTGTGTTTTCTCAGCCGTATTCTCCCCGAATCCCTTCTTTTCACATCTTCCCACCACTTCTTTTTTCCACTCCGTCTCCTGTCACTGTCTTTCTGCTCTTTCCCATTCCCAGCATTCCTCTCTGAGTCCTTCCCTGGCCTCCTTTTCTCATTCTCTCCTGACTGGAGCCTTTCTCGTATTCCACTCCCGCCAACTCACTTACTGGTATTTTCCTTTGACCTCTACCCCCCCCCCCCCCCCCCCCCCCTCTTTGTCATATTCTATTTTTTCTCTCCTTTCCCCCCATCATCTTTTCCTCCCCCTGTCCTTCTCTCTCTCTCTCTCTGTATATCTTTTTCTCTGTGATATTTATAATGAGAAAAGCAGCAGGAGAGAGTTAACACACACCTGGCCCAGTTCTGTCTCTCCAGCTGTCACAGATAACCTTTCCTCTGCTGAACGAATAGGTCTCTCCTCTCTTCTCCTCTCTTCTCTTCTCTTCTCTTCTCTTCTCTTCTCCTCCATAGTTCGTCAATCACTGTTTTATCGTTATCTCTGCAGCGTGTTTAACCATGATCCAGGCAGCTGAAAGGAAACATCTGGGAAAGCCACAACAACCGGTGTCAAAAGTGTCCGACCAAGCATGGACAGGGAGCAAACTTCCTAACGTATCCCATAACACATGCTAACAAGAGCCATCGCTCTGGATGTGTGATGTTTGTAGGCATACATGGAGAATGATTGCTGATGTTATGAGTCAAGCGAGCGGGCTTTGTGGTAGGCTATTGACTCATGGCTCACACAGCAGTGGTGATAGATCACTAACTATCAACATGATTACTGTGTTTCTTGGCACTTGGGAAGAAGGGGTGCTCCTTGTGTAACTGTGACTATACAGATTAAATACAGTTAAATGTACATAGACGTGTGGGCAAAGAGGGTATTTAGTTTTTTAAAAAGGAGTATAACCGATTTTCACCCAGATTTTATGTCCCCAAGCTTTTAAATAGTTGTTTCCTGTTTTAAGAAAACATTGTCCATCAAAATGTAGAGTAAACAAAGTCCCAACAGGCAAAGCACAGAATATGCTTCTGGTCATAGAAAGAGAAAGAGAAAGCAGAAACACAAAAAGCTGCTGCTTTTGCAACATAGCCCTTTAAAGTCATAATTACAATAAAAAATAGAAAAACACAAATGGTCATTGAAATATTGATTTTATAGAAATTGTCAGTATGTTGTAAATAAAAAAAAAATAATGACAGTAATCTTAAAAAGCACTATGTCTTAATTAGTAAAGACACTCAAAAATGCTAATCTCCTTCATCAGGAGTATGCGGGTATAATAATAACCGGCACAGTCTCACTCCTGACTCGTCACATATGGTCAAGGCCCTTTGGCGTCGGGTTTTAATACCCTGGGTACACCTTTAGCGTCATTTTTTGAAGTTTAAGGCTCTGCGGTCAAGTTAGCAACACTTAGCAACAGCAAATATGCAACGTCCGGTTAGACTTTCAAAATAAAAGCGTTTCGAAACATCACCATTTTTAAGCGGCACGTTATTATTTGTTATTTACCATCAAAAACTGACGTTACAGGGCTTCCCCCACTACGTTTAACTATGGCGCTATAGGGATCCCCAGTGCGTTATAAACTAACACCGATGGGTCTTGACCATGAGTCCATATGTGACAAGTTGGGGAGTGAGAACGGGTTGAATTGAAAGTGGACTGGCAAAATAAGAAACAACCCCACAACTGTCATTTCATTCAAATATTGCTAAATCCTGATTCGTGCACCGGTATGTGACTTCACTCATTTCCAAATAAGCTGAACATATTTTATTTAAAACCAATGAGAGCTCAGAGGAAAACCATACAGACATTGTTTGTGTGAAATAACCAAACTGGACAATCATTGGCAGAAAATTGTCTGTTCATGTAGGAGCCCGTCACTCAAAGCAAGAGAATATTTTTAAAGGCATGTAAAATGGGTAATAATAATTATTTCTGATTACACCAAACACCATAATGATATTGCCAGGTTCTCCTACCAGGAGAAATATGGATATAGAATATGAAGGATAGTTGTGTTTTTTAGGGATGGCATCAGCTTGGACATGTTCAAATGTTTGCTAGGCCATGTAGGGAAAAACCTGAGAGATGACTCAGGTTTGCTTCGGTAAAAAAAAGAAAAAAGACTGCCCTTGAAGTTGGTAGTACCCAGGTGTGAATGTTTGTAACAGTTTCAATGTGAAACAGAGTGCTGCTCTACAGCTACATCAATTCATGGGTTACATTTAAGGGTTGACTGTTGGTTGTTTTTGATAAATAAAGAGAAAACACAAACCAAACCTCAGACGCAGATGGCTGGATGAAAAGCTCGTTCTGGTGGGATACTGGGTGGTGGTTCGTTGCTGTACCCTCCCTTGGCACAAGCTTTTACAGGGCGCTTTACAGAGCGAGCACACATGTTTTTTTGGAGCGGTTAGCCCTCACATTTAGACTCATCATTACCCACAACCAGCATCTATGTTCTCATTATTTTTCCACTTTTTTTTTCAATCCAGACATGTCGGTTTTTCTTATTTTCTGCATTTTGTCTGTGCAAGGCTTATGCAAGGGCCAATAAAATGCCAAATGGAAATCATTACTCTTTCTGATATATTTCTGTATGTTTACTCAGAGCAACAGCACAATGTGAGGGATTTTCTTGGGTGCATTTGGTGGATATTTCATTCAAATTGCTTTTAAGTACTGAATGTGCATGCTTGTTTAATGTTAGTGATCAAACCCCTTAACCTTGCAGTGGATTTACGTTGTCTTAGAAAAGGTCATCAGGTCATCCGTTACAGGTGGTAAATTTAGTCAGAAGCAACAAAGAAGGCATGACACAATGAGAAACATCCCTCGGCACATTTATCATGTGAATGAATGTTTTTAGGTTCTTCCATTTGTAGCAAGAACTACTTCCTTGTCTGAAATTCTTAAAAGGGTTATGGTAGAAGGTTTTAAAACCTAAGAGAGTTTAATTATGCATGCAATGCAATGTAAGGTGAATGGAGAAGGAAAATTCTGAAATGTAAGACAGCTGTCAGTTGGCCTTTCTGATGTTATCCTGGCAGTGTTGGTGCGATGCTGCACACACTGAGAGACAGCTCTCGGAGATTTACAGTTACGGAAAGATCATGCAGGTCGAGGCAGACTCAGTGATCCAAATGTAGTCATGAGGTCATATGCTGACTCAGTGGTGCGTGACCCCCTCCAGCCTCTGGCCTGTCTGTAGAGCATTGTGGCAGCATTTGATGTGTCCATGGCCTTTTGGTAACAGTAAATTGAGTGTGAAACTGCATGTTGCAAAGCTGCAACTGGAGCCTTGTGGGTGCGTGTCTATGTCTGTGTGTCTGTGTCAATAAAAATGAAGTGAAATGAGGTCTTTTACAGTAATATAAATTACAAAGCAGTTTTTCAGTAGTAGGCGGCTTGGTGGTTGAGTTTTTAATGGTGCTGTCTCACAGTAAGAGGAATTTGGACTTGATTTTTGGCCTTAGCTCTTTCTGTATGTGGTTTACGTGTTCACACCTTGTTCAAGTATGTTGCCTCCCACCGTTTATAGACATGTAAATTAAGTGTATTGGAGAGACGGTTTCACCCATACGTATGATTATACATCATACTTAATGACAATCTACTTTATGCTGGGTTTCACACAGACCCACTGCAACCTGGATTAGGAAAAGGCTTACTGAAAAACTGAATGAGTGATGATTTTTAGTACCCCATTCTCTTCTTTGACCATATATGAGGTCTTCACTCCATGTTTTGGAAAGCTGAGTCTAAATGATCTGCATCTATCCCACTGTGGCTCACCATTTTCTATTGATAAAGCTGTTCTATTGCCATTCTGCTG